AGCTGTGGCTACAACCGTAGCTGCCTCCACCAGTGTGTGAATGTGAGAGTGAATGAATAGTGGAATTGTAAAGCGCTTTGAGGGCCCCGAAAAGCGCTGTATAAATGCAATCCATTATTATTATTATTTACTGCTAATTGCGTTGATATTTAACACAGAAACAAACATGTCTTAACTTGTGCACTTTATATGAACTGACTGTGCTTGTGTTTATAGGCACAACCATTAAACTAACCACACCCATGAGCACTATGAGGATTTCCCTCACATGCTTTTTTGTCCCATTTAGTAAATCTGGCCTGAAAAGTCTTAAGCTCGAGCTTATAGTGAATACTTGCACATTCGCTGACCTCATTATTTGAAACTTTGTTCATGTTTAATATGAGCATCCACAATTTTTTTTTTGTTCCACCATTAAAAGACTTTGTGAAAGACATATTTAGCAGTAGCAGCATTTGTCAGGACTCGCCAGCAGCGCGTAGTATAATTCGGAGCATGCACACGAGGCCGACAGAAGTTTCGAGTTTGCCTGCCGTTCAAAACTTTGATTTATTTCTTGTACCTTATAGGTGAGATAACAAATTCTCTCCTTCACTGGTTCTCAAAGGGCACACCGTTGAGTAGGGCAGATCTGAGGGCTGTCAACATCAACCTCTGCGACATGTGTGTCATTCTGTCAGCCAATCAGAACAATATTGACGATGCATCACTGCAGGACAAAGAATGCATCTTGGCGTCACTCAACATCAAATCTATGCAGTTTGATGACAGCATCGGGGTCTTGCAGGCTAATTCTCAAGGTAAGGAGCGCCCTATCATAGTTCACTGCACTGCCTGGAAGGGACAGGGCCCTGGCACAGAGAATATTCCTCAGTGGGTGCTGCTTGGCTGACCTGGTGTCACTGTGTTTGACAGTAAACCCAGCTGACTATTCCTCAGGTTACTGTAACAACTGGTTTCTTCACAAACTTAATTGGTGGCAACAAGCACAGCTCTGGCACAAGAGATTTGCCTGGCTTGCACATTGTTATTTTTCAATATCTGAGACTACTTTCATAAAACTAATGTGTGCAATGTATTAAAATTGCGTGTTATAGCTTTCTAAATGACACTTGAAGCACTCAGTTAGCTTCAGATGGTCTTCAGTAAGGGGCCATTATTTGGCACTGAGAGAAATCCTTTTAGAAACCTTTTGGCCTCGCGACGGGTGGAGGGTGTGGTGGTGGTAGGGTCTCCAACAATTTCATTATTCCTCTAATACATGTATGACCTCGCATGGTGCTGCTTAGTCAGCAGTAAGTGATGGATATCACAACATACCCTATGTATTATACATACAGCATCACTGATTTAATGTGCTTACTTGTCAGTCTGAGGAAAGCAAGAAATGTCAAGTCAATTTGGATTCAATCTTGCGTCACTGATTTTCTATTTCATGACTCCATATTGTACATGCTTTTTTTGCATATGTTTGTAAAATGTTTCTGTCTCCATGCACACACAATCAAAGGGAAACAAAATGAGCTGTTTGTCACATCTATTATATATAAATCAATACTGGTCGTTGTCAAGAATATGGTAACACTGCACTTTACACCTCACTCGCGGCTGCAAATAGATGAAATAGCCCCGACACATTAGTTCTGCTGATGTGCATTATCGTAACCTCTAAAATCAAGTACTGAACCTAGTATTAACTGATGTGCTTTGTGTGACATGTATGTCCATTAAGGCTTCACACCACCAGGAATGGATAGATCATCTCCTGAGAATAGTCCAGTCCATGGACTGGTGAGGCAGACCTCTGTCACCACTGGAGCAAATATCCCCATCATAACAGAACTAGGTATGGTTTGCTGCTACGTGTTGATTGATATGCTAGCTCTGCTGTTTTATGTTCTTTTCAGTGTAGTAGTTGTAAACAAATCTCCGAAAACACAAATTATGCAATTAGAGGCTGTCATCACTTGATTAACTGTACTAAAAGTGGAATTTGTTTATGCTTTTGTCCCTTGTTGACATGTACCAGTAACTGTTTTTCCTTAACACTTGTCTAGCGCCATTAGCAAAGCCAGGCAAAAAACTGCCTGTGATTTCATTCAGTCAGGATAAAAGCAGTGGGACCAGCATACAAATGATAACTGAGCTGGGTAAGAAGAAGTGCCTCTGTCCTGTACTGCAGTGTCGTAACTGCTGCTGCCTCCATATCAGCTTTCTTTTGATTTCTCGTGCTGCACAAGAGGCTCAGTCCATTCCCATGGCATCACTTTGAGCACATTTTACCCTTGGTTCTGGTTGAAATTGCCTGTCTTGTTTTGGCTCCCTATCTCAAAGCAAAATTTCTCCCTTTTATTTTTCTAAGAATTACAGGGTCTTTGATCCCTCAGAAGTCCTTGTGGCTGTTTTCATAGCATCTTCTGTCGGATCACATTCTCTGTCCCGTGCCCTTCTTTCATCTCAGCCCTGTCGATATGACTGACATTTATTTCTGTCCTCACAGAAGAAGCAGTTCTCCAACTAAATTTTACATCATTACTTTCTTCCAGCTACTGCATGTGTTTTTGTGCTCAAAGACATCTTTAAAGAAGGTTCTGGGGCAATGAAATACTTTCATTTGACTTGACATGCAAGTACAAGTAATTGGAAGTTCTGTCTTGGATTTACAAGACAAACAATGGCATAATGGTGTTACTGATAGTGACCTCAGGAGGACTTCAAGTTAAGGCCTGGAACTTTGACAATATGCATGGTGTCATGAGTGTGCATGAATGGCCTGGATATGGAATGTGGCAGAGGCAAGTTGGCCACAAGGCTGGATACAAACACCAGACACATATGTCATTTTAGTTCTTTTAAAGAAACTAAAATGTGGTCCAAATTTGGAACTAAGCAAATGAGGAGAATATGCGAAACTATTCACCGATTTCTAATACAGTCCATATCTGCTGCTACTGACTGTTGTGCACAACCGCTGTATTGTTGTGTCCTCCTCTTCACGTGACTCAAGCATTTGCCATGTTGGACTCAGTGTGCAGTAAAAAACCCCCAACAAAAAAACAAGCTGAACTGAAATAGCTAATAAAATGAACACGTTTACCCCATAGTGAATGACTCGAATGTTCAGTTCCTGGATCAAGATGATGACGACGACCCAGACACAGAGTTGTACCTCACACAGCCTTTTGCCTGTGGGACAGCATTTGCAGTCAGTGTGCTGGATTCCTTAATGAGTGCGGTAAGTCAAAAAATCGAATTTCTAATAACATCTGTCAATTGCAAAATAGGTCAACTAAATAGTCGCGGTATCGACTGATATTTAGCTACTTACTGATAAAGCTGTATCAGCAGTCTTAAGAGCTTGAAAAGAAGAAGATTGGGCTTTTGTTTGTTTCACTTCAGTCCAAGAAGCAAAACGTGGAGAATCCCAGGTATTTAAACCCTAATAGGGCTCTGCTAAGCTCATGTGATGAAACACATGTTCATCTCCAAAGGGGAAACTCCCACTTGGGTTTAAATACCTCCATAACCTTTTGGTTATGGAACTGAAGAACCCTCTTGGATGAGATGAAATAAAAAATATAACCCTTAATAATGACACATAACAAATGTTTTTTTGTGTCGTGTGTCTAAAAGAAAAAGAATAACCGCTAATATACTGAATTCTTTACTGCCAAATATCGGTATCAGTATTGTATCGGTTTTAAAAATCATATATTGGCCGAGCTTTACAACTAAATCTAAAAAAATAATACAAATAATAAAGTAGGCACATTCTGGTCCTCTGTTAAAAGAATGAATGACAAGACTGGAACTTGTACAAGGCATGATGGCTTCATTTGTCTGCCTTTCAGTTTGAGTGAGGTTAGAACAAAGCTGCCTTCAAGTGTGCTCCAGTGTAGACAAAGGTAATGCTACCTAATGGACAGCCCTCATCCATCATCTGAGTCAATAGTGCTGTCAGCAGCCAAGGGAGATGTCACCATGCAGTACAAGCAGGGGGAGACAAGCGACTGCAGTGAAAAGAAAAGGGGAGACATTTGCCCTTGTTAAAATCAGCAAAGCAATAACTGAGGAGGGATTAGAAAGATAACAATTACAGAGAGGAGTATATCTTCAGGTTTAGTGTGTGGTTTATAAAGCGGACTTTTTTTCTTTCTTATATAAAGCTAAGTAATAAATCCTTGTACAAGTGTGAACATGGACTCGCTGCTCTGATGGAAGTAGGTGTGACCTGCAGTAACTGGATTCTCCTGTCTTTTCACTCCATGTTCAGGCCAATGTGATGCGACAGAGCAGGGTTAGATAGCACCATTCAATCTGCCTGGCACGCTGAGAAGGTTCAGTTGTGACTTTGGGAGTGTTTGCTTAAGGACTCACCCCCTCTAACTTCATTCCTTCAGACATACTTCAATGATAATATCCTCACCTTGATCCGGACGCTGGTAACGGGCGGGGCGACACCGGAGCTGGAGGGGCTGCTGGCAGAGGAGAATGCATTAAGAGGTGGCTACAGCACACCACAGACCCTGGCAAACAGGGACAGGTGTCGCGTGGCACAGCTGGCCTTGTACGATGGGCCCTTTGCCGACCTCGGGGTAAGTGATTGGTCTTGTCACCTGGGGGCTAAGGACATTTTTGTCAGCTTGCTTTGTGGGAGCTGCTGTTACTGAAGGATGCAGAGTAATAGGGATGGGATGGGGATGTAAAACTGTGTTGAGTGATTGTGACATAGCTGAAATTGTATAATGAATAGAAAATAAAGTTATATTTATCTATAGAATGAGCATCAAATAAGTATTTTGGCATTTATTTAAGATGTTAGTTTTAATAGCATATTGACTGATTGTTAGCACTTACGTAGATGGATCAACTGAAGAGCCAGATGCATTTCTCAGGTCGTGTTTCAGGTCTTTGCTGGATGTTTCCTATTTCTTATGGACACAGCTCTCACACACTGGTCATCTGCTGTAGATAGATTTTAAAGCCTTCCACTTTTTCTTTTGTCCTCTACTTGTTCAGTTTCCTCAAATTTTTTAAGTACGCACTACACACCATGAGATATACCAAGCTTCAAGCTAATATATTTTGGGAATTTACATTTGTTGGTCCAAAAATACTGTTTGCTGGTATTTTTCATAAACCCAAATCAACTAAAGACATGGGAACAACTGATGGGTTTTGTGACAGGTTGCTAGTAATGAAGTGACTAAAATCTTCTTTTCTTGTTTTCCTAACTCATCCCGTCTGTTAGGTCCCTTTATTTATGCTTGAATGATTCATATGATTTAAAAAAAAAAAAAAAAATCCTCTGACAGTGGTCAGGTACAAGAACTGAACTGAAAATGACGGAAAGCAGCCGATGTCCAAAGAAAAACTAAAAGCCTTCAGAAAGCTTGGAAAGCTATTTCCGAAGACAACTTAAAATTTAGTCTGACTCTTAGGAAGCTAAATATAAACAAAGGAGGGGTGGCTCAAGACTCCTGTACAGTACTATAAATGGCAGAACAAAGCTAATGAGCCAAGGAGGCTTCTTTTATTTTGTGCTATGGCTCTCTTAATATTCTCTAATATTCCATGAAATCCATCATTGCTTTACCCTGGTGACCGAATCCTCTAATTGTGGCAGTTCCACTTCAACTGGAATGAGTTAACTGTGTGCTGTAAAATGTTGTTGTCCAATGCTTGTGTTTCTTGTCGAGTTTGTAGAGTTAATGTAGTGCTTAATTTCCATGACTTTCTGCTTTATTATCCAGCTGTATCAGATAAAGACGTAATGCTATCACTTTTGATGCTAGAGATCTATTTGGTGATTTTATTTGAGTGTGGTCAGGAGACAATTTTGTCCTTCATTTACATAGACAACAGTAAACACAACAAAGAGCATGCAAGGGAAAAGAAAAGACTACGTTGTGTAACACAGATTCTATTTTTCTATGATGTTAATATGTATTTTTAGTGTTGGTTTTACAAAATACAAATTGTGTACTCATCAGTTTTGTGTTCTCTCTTACAGGATGGTGGTTGTTATGGTGACCTGTTTTGTAAAGCCCTAAAAACTTATAACATGTTGTGTTTTGGCATCTATCGGCTACGAGACGCACATCTAAACACACAGAGCCAGTGTACCAAACGGTATGTGTTCTTGCATTTGAGTGGAATCCAAATAATAATGGATTCATGTATTACTTTATTTATAACTGGCCTCACATCTGGTCCCTTTTTCCTCTAGATATGTCATAACCAATCCACCGTATGCATTTGAGCTGGTGCCCTCAGACCTGATATTCTGCCTGATGCAGTTTGACCACAACGCTGGCCAGTCTCGAACCAGCCTCTCCCATTCTTCCCATTCATCCCATTCTTCAAGCAAAAAGAGTTCCTCCGTCCACTCTATCCCCACCACCAACCGCACCAACCGAGCCAAAAGCAGGGACTCGCGAGACAAACAAAAGTATGTGCCCCTCTAAAGCTCTGTGACTGTCTATGTCCGTGACCGGTGCCTGCCGACAGCGTTTGCCTTGTTTGTCCAGACAGACTTTCACACGTCTGAGTGTCAAAGTGTGTATGTCCGTCTGACGGTGTATGTATGTGCCACTTTTGTGTTTAACAAAGCAATTTAGTGTAGATTGGGTTTCCACTTTAGCAGGATTGGCTAATATTGCAGGTCAAAGAATAACTGGAACTCCCCTGGACTGAGCATTTTATTTCTGAGTTTCATTCCATCCATTAGCTGTTTTTGTCCCACATTCTTGTGCATTTGAAAGCCAAGAACAGTAGAAACATCCTGACTAGTTCACTTTGAGTCAAGTGCAAATATAGATCAGGGTTTCTACAACTAATTCTGTCCAGTTAACCGCTTACCAACTTTTAATTAACTACGAAAGCCTTACCTATACACACAGACTCCTCTCAACCTCCATCTAACGTGGAAGAAAAGGATATTATTATATATGTGACACTGGCAAACACATCATAGAACATGACAAAGTAATTACCCTCAGGGTAGTAAGTGACAAACATTGTACAACCTCCATCTTTCCTTTTTGTTTTGCTAATATCCAGCACCTCTGTGATTATGGCCACCGTCTCTTTCCACTTGTAGCATTCCAAGTTTTGTTTAATTTCGAATTAAAGCTGAAACTTATTGTACTAAATTGCACTTTTAAAATTACACGTCTTAAAGGTTCATGTCATGTCAATGAATTCTTGCACATCGTGTCCTCTCAATGCCTTTTGATTTGCGTTAGAAAGCTGCGCTTTTAGTTAAATGTTACTTGCCACCGTGAACTATTAGTTATGTCAAGACAATTTGCAAGCATAAAATGTTACGGTTGTTAATAAAGTTTGACCCGCACAATGTGAATGTCACATTTCAGTTTTATTCTACAATTGTTAAACTTTGTGAAGAGACATTTTCATGTATTATGATTACCACTTGTATTACCAGTAATTAGACTGGTAAACTGAATCAGAATTTCTATGCACCGCTGCAAATTGGGCCCGTAACTGCTTAAAGTCAAGGTTCAATGAAGCAGTGAGTACTACACTGTCAGCATACGGCAGCAATAGCTAGCATTTTTTTCTCTACAGAGTATTCGACCTGCAACCAAAGGAGCTGGAATCATTATGTCTTGATTTCACAATTTAGGTCTTACTTCAGTTTGAAGCCTTACTACACCTGTGGTCTCCACAGATGACACTATAGTTGGTGTGAATCGGTATAGGAAGGCGTTTCTGCTGTGGAAATGTACATGGCATTCTATCTAACTCTTAGCTAGAAGCAGGGATAGTTATTCAAAGTAGATTTTGTACTTCCAGATTTTATTACTTTGGCTAGACTTTCCCAATTCAACATCATGTTTGGGCTTACCAAGTCCCCGACCACATACACTTTTTTCAAGTGATTGATAAGCTGACAGCTTCAACCATAGTGTATTCAAGACACAAGCAGCTGACTGGATGATACCACTTTGATCAGTCATCAATCCTTTATAATGGTACCACGTATACCTACAAGTTGTTTTTTTTTACCAGATGTACAGAAGTCAGAGTTTAGATTGTGTAGATAATTCTTCACAGGTGGCCCCAGCCCATTTTTGAACAAAAGCAGTGTCCTCAAATGTATTTGGCTTTTCTTTCTCTCGATAACTCTAAAAAGGTAAAGAATCCATTTCCTATCCATAAGCTTTCAACTTGCAATTTGCAATATAGAAACATAACAGCTGTAAAGCATTACACTGTACAAGAAGACAGAGCCTCTAAGCTACACTTAGAGTTTCACGACTTATCTGTACACTATGGTTGTTCTCTATAGGCTGTACCAATGTAGTGCAAGCCTACCAGGTCCCATAATGAAATAATGCCTTTGTTAAGTACACTTAACCTGTACTTTTAGTGCAATATACCCTATTATAATTACACTGTGGTGTCTGGCAGGTGTTTGTTATAGAGTGCCTGCAAGTTGGCATAATGAATCAGGTGAATCATTTAATTAAAGACTGTAAGATCGATATATAAAAGGTTGTTGATTTCTTGGAGTTTTGAAACCAGAGAGGTTGGAAACCGAAGACACTTCATCGCATTCGCCATCACAAGTCTTTAGATAATGAGCATTCCCTGTAAATCCTCCTTTATGAGTTGAATAACAGTCATAATTTCCCAAATAAACCATATTATCTGAAACTATTGATTAAAGTCACCAGTTGCATATTTACTGAGTTCACAGACTAATGAAGCTTAGAGCTATTTTTCCATGTACGTCTATACAACAGGAAGTCTTATTTGGAACCAGGGAAATAATTCCCTGCTGGGCAAAGAACATTGGGGCGCTTCTGTATCGGCTCCACTTGTCAGGCTCAGGACCCACATCCATCTTTTATACTGTCTATAAGTATGCCTCTGTGCTTCCGATTAACTCATTTTATGTCTTTACTAATGTATGTTGGACCATAAAGTACAGACTTGTTTGAATCACAAAAGCTTGTTTGTGCCATGTGCAGTATTTTTATTTGCATTAATTACTAAATGTTGTTAATCAGGCCTGTCCCCAAGAGTCCTGATGAACCTTAAGTTCATGGGTTCGGTTCATGGGGCCGGTTATATTTATTGAATATATTCCCGGTATGGATGGGGTCTAAGATTGTTTGGTTTAATTTAATTGTCTGTCTCTGAGTATATATTGATTACAGGTATCTCAGTATTTTACTGTTATTAACACAGTGAAGGGACTTTGCAGAATTGACAGAGGTATGCATTCTACAAATAATAGCAATATCCTAATATTTTCACATTCATTCAAAGGGAATGCTTATGTGTCACAGCTGCTGAATGAACACTACAGGCTTTTTATGGTTAACAATACTGCTCATGCTCAGTTAATACGATGCATTGCACTTTTTTACACAGATCCATTTAACACACCAGTGTATTCGTTTGATTTAAAAACATCTGACGTGCAGCTGCATGCTGGTATTTCCATCTGAAACTTGGAGATAATTTTTTAAAACTGCTTTAACAATAGGCATGGGAAGATTATGGCTGTCTGACATGCATTATTATGCTGGATGCATAATAATGGCACTTAAAGATATTTTTACATGACCTATGTTGTTTTTCGTTATCTTTTTTTGTGATTAGTGGCAACCTACTGTTTAACCTACTCCAAATCCATACGCAATGAGATCATCTGCTGGTTTTATGCCTCCGATCTTCCTGCTCTGCCTTTTCTGTTATTAATGGTCGCATTAGTATTTTCCCACTTAGCTTACACATAGTGTACTACTTTCTCTTTTCAAAGTGCAACAAGGATAAGTAGAGTTGGCCAAGGTATGGAAGTGAATGAATATGCATGATATTACATACTTGCACTGAACACGGTCATGTCCCTGCTGACATGTTGCCCTCTGAATGAAAGCCAAGTAGTTTAGCATTTCCAAATGACTGCTTCAGGAGAGCATGGTCGTGACCTAAGCAGCACAGTTCACAGCGGGTTTGACTGTAAAATGTGTGACTGCAACTGAATGGTTTGATGCTACATTTTACTGTTGTTTAATGTTTTGTTGCTGGCACATGTATTAATGCACCACAGTATAACAGCCTTAGGTCATGACCATGGACTTTGCCAAGCGGATGAATCACATTGTAGAATGTCAGGTTATCTATTTCCTTCTTAACCAGAAAAAGTTGCATCAAGCCAAAAGTTTGAAAATATACGTATACATATAATAATTATGAAGGTGGAAGTCCTGCATTAACTTGTAATTTGGTGAAGAGATTTTGCTTCACTGGAACTTGCATGTCTTTAGACTCAACAAAGCTGCATGCTTCATGGCAGTATATTTTTAAAAAATGGCCATAAGATGAATGGCATTATGCTACAATCGCACTAGGAGACAAAAGTAGAGACAGCAACACAATCAAAATTATTGCAAATGTGCACGATGAACCTGAGATCTATTGCCTCCGACCACTCGCCGTCACTTGCCCTCTCAAACTGCACCAAGAGTCTGCTCTCAGTTTGCAGTTGAATGGTAATTAAATTAGTGAAAATCACAAATCTTATGCTACTCTTGTCTACATGCACAGAAACATCTTACATTCTAACCTAAAGCAGAAATTCCACAAATAGTTGCTACGGGATGGAGATTAAAGTGCAAAATTGCACAGGCACTAGGCAACCTTGCTTTCTAGATTAATAAATAGGGCGGCAGTTACTTGCAAACATTCTCCAATCTGTGTGAAAGTGATTACAGTTATTTGAAGACAGTTTGCCTCCCACCAGGCGATCTGTGCAGTGCCATTGCGTGCAACACCCTCAATCCAGAGGTGGAGGGTGTTGCAAGCTCAATCGCTGGGCAACCAGTTGGCGACCATGACTACTTGTAATAGACCCCTGACAGCAAAACAATTAAATCCAATCACTGGGCAAATGCTAATTTCTCCTAATCACAAGGAGGTTGCTGTCCTATTTTTACACTAGCGTGATTGAAATATTAGAGAGGGAGGTAAAAACACAATGAGTGATATTTTCCCACCACTAAAAACTCACCGTGGAGCTTAAAATACCTTCGTAAAGCAACAATTTAGAAAAAACATTTTTTAAAATGTTATTAGTGCATGTAAAAATGCATCATATTAATGCAAAATATTTGACCTCCATGTAGCATTAACTGTCTGATGTCCTCCCTTCTTGTCTTTTTATGATTTTGACTCTTTCTCAGAAAAGACATGGTTTACAGATGAGCAACAGAATACCCACCAGAGGACCATAAAGCTCAAGCCTGTGAATACTCTCGCCGTCAATCACATCAGTCGATATACTGTACATCCGCAAGCAGCTTGATTCCACCCATCAGAGAAGCAGAGCACACGCGCTGAGTTCTGGACGCGTGCTGGTTATTGGACTCCTAGAAGACTCATCGTGTAGGCGTCCGTCCGGAATCTGAGATATCGCCTCATCTGCAAACGCAAATCATCATTTTTTTCATCGTATAAGGCGAACATGTACTGCTTTCGTCATTCACCTCTGCAGCAAGTTTATTTTACGTAATCTTCATTAAAGACAATCGTTGTCAAATATCACAGTCACTCAGCTATTAGTTTGCACAGCTAACCTTTAGCAGTGGCCAGACTCCATGACTTTTTTGGTTTATTTTGGGGAATGATGGTCACGTCAACAAGAAAAGCAATGTTAAAAAAACAGAATAACTACTTCTAATACTGCTAAAAGGGGTGTTTATTAGGATTAATGGATCAAGTTTTGCAATTGTAAAAGTTGCCTTCTTAGCTGTGTATGAACAACTACTACTACTTCTGCATTTACGTTAACCAATGTTGCAGAGTTAGTCTGTACAGTATGTTTAAAATGTGTATTTTACACCCAGCTGCAACCCCACCACAATGGCATTGTTAGTGACTGACTCTCAGTGATTCCTTTGCCATTTGGAGCTAATTCACAACATTTGTGACAGTTACGACGGCCAGTGTCCATATGTAAATGGCATTTGGGTCCAGCCTTATCTGAATCCATTTATGTTTGTCTTATTTTTTTTGCCTTTTTTCAGGTGTTATAAATGTTTTCACGTTGCTATTTCAAGTTGTCCAAAACCCCGGAAGTGTTAACAAGTATCTGCATCTGCAAAATTTCTTTTTGTTTTTTAATAGCCAAATATGATAGAGCTGTTTTTGTTGTTGTTGTTTTTTTTGGTGAAATTATAAAACAACCAAAAATCCAAAAGTTTGTTCATTTTACATTTATCCATTTACTTAAGTCACTATAAACAGCTAAGCCAAATGCTATGACCATATATGATAGACTTGTAGGTAAGATGAATGTAAAAGCCACATATCGCATAAAGTGGGCATCATTTAAGTCCTCCTTTGGCTGTAAGCACTGCCTGACACAGGATTGTCTTGGAGGCCATTAAAGCAACTTGTATGTTCTCCATGACCAATCTTAATGCCATAAACAGACATGATTTTTGTTGATGCATGAAGAACAGCTCTATCATAAAAAAAAAACCAACTGAATTTTTGGCTATTTGTTTTTTTTTTTTGGAATACTTTGTTTTGTTTACCTCCTCAATGACTGATTACATATCTTTCATTTCCATTTGTTTCTGTTTGGAAGCACAGAATAATGTGTGTGGTGTTATTAATCATGTCTTATTTTAATAATGAATCACAGCTATACTGGCACTGTTGTCACTTTACTTTAGGATCAATGAGGGGGAAGGAAAGGTAAAAAAAAAAAAAAGCAAAGAAAAGCACATATTGCTCCATGAAGTTCTCGATCCATATATGACACATAACAGTCCAGCCTAGGATTCATGTTGGATGTAAAATGAGAGAGGTTGTGACATTTTTACTGGCACAGAGGAAACCCAAGCTGTCCATCCCTCAGTGCCAGTAATGTGCCAGGCAGTGCTGAAGCCAATGGAGGACTCTAGGAAGACCCACTGCTGCGAAAAGAGGCTTCTAGTTTAGCGTTCTTAAAAATTCACTGGAGATAGCTACGACTGTCGCAAACAGTCTGAGAAGTCTTAAAACTTTTTTTCTTCTAAATCAATCCATCATCAAGAGCAGCGCCTGAAAGCAATTCAGTTGTATGTAAATGTGTAAAGCTTAATGTGAAGTATTTTTTTCTAGTGTGTTCCCGTTTGACAGTACCTGTGGGGTTGAGAGACATTCAACATTGCAGTCTAGTCTGTATTATTTTGTGCTTTTTTTTTTTTTTTTAGCACATCGACAATGCCAGTGCTAAGTTGATATTTCTGACTATGTCATCATACACAATAATAAAAACTGTTTATTGTCTTGTACAAATAGCCTTGTATATAAATTGTACATGATTTCATTTTGTATTTTCACAAATTAAAAGCAGATGTATTGTGTTCTATAATATGTCTTGTCTCTTTATTTTCTCAGATTTTAAAAGGATGTTAATGATGTTTTACACACACACGCGCACCCCAAAAAGGAGAAAAATAAATGACACTATCTCTTTGATAACGCTGCACAATTTTGGATCACGTGACACAGAACACCTCGTTGTACCCTCTTGGATAATGGCTGATGTAAAAACACACTCCACATTCTCACCTGAGGGATGGAGAGAGCCCATCATCGTGCTTGTTAACGATTTTTACACACCATGGCTCTGTGGGAGACTGTCAGCATGCCAATAATATTTACAGTCTAACACCTCGCAGAGAGGCCGCTGATTTCCCTTATCCTCCTGCCAACAGCAGTGTCACCTCTTCTTAGTAAACAAACACGCCTAACTATCAAACTAAAAACAGTCTATGACTACTATATATGTGTATTATTTACAAAGCAGTGATTTACTGTGTCAAATTATAAATGAGCTGACACTTTTTTTAAAGGGTTACATTATCAGCTATTATTGCACAGAACATTAAAAAATGTTATAAAAAATATATAAATGCTAAATTTTTGGGTTAAAACACTAAAAGTTTTGAGTTTTGTGCCTCTCCTAAATCACATGACATTGCTGGTTTGTGTCACAAAAAGTGAATAGTTGTTACATAGTCAAGTTTGTGACAGAGAGAGGAAAGTAACAAAATTGTACTGTAAAATATTACATTTTTATATGCACTATTAAAATATTTTTATTTTATTTTAAAAAGGGCAAATATTTTAGAAAAAAACCCCCAAAATAATAATAAATTCTCAGTACCAGTATAGCTGAAATTTTGGTGACTGTGTGTAAATGTCAACTAAAAAAATGTCAGTTGTCTTAAATAGTATAACAGTAATTAGAAATATCCAACATAAATACATAACAACAACAAAAACAACAATGATTATATTAAGCAGAAGAATAAGAATAAACTTTCTTTATAGGATCTTTTAAATAAAATTACAAAGGGTTTTAAAAGACAAAACAAGACACTGATAAACATTAAAGAATAGAAAAATTTAAAAGTTTTACTGAATTTTGAGGGGAAGCTAGTAGAACGAGACACTAAAGGAATAAAATAACTTAAATAATCTCACAAAAGGAGACGATGTAAAAGTAGCTCCAGCTGGAGGCACTGAGAAAGCCCGCTTACAAAAACATGTCTTTAAGACCGATTTAAAGGACGATGATAGGAAGCTCACCAATCTGACCTCCTGGGGGAGGCTGTTTAAGAGAGGGGGTGCCCTAACAAAAAAAAAATCTTGAGATTGTGGTACAGTAAGGTTAAAGCTACTTTTGGCAGATTTTTACACTGGATGCCCTTCCTGTGCAACTCCAAAGGGATTTGTGTCTCCTCGTGGAATCGAACCAGGGATCTTGCGCTTGTTATTGGAAGGTGTAAACCATTACTGTAAAAAAAAAAAAAATCCCACTAAAATAAATGAACTACCAAAAAAGCAAATGATCACAGAGATGCAGAGATATGATGTAAATCTATTCGCATTAAAGAAATACCTTGACTGAAACTTTGCTATGCTGTGAGTGCATAAGCCTATTCACAAACACACACTCGGCAACACAGAAATCCACTGTAGCCTCTGAGGACAACTCTTGTCCAGCTGTACGGGTGATAATAGTTTCCATGACAATGCAGCACTCCAAGTGCATCAATGCCAGCTCGGATAAACAGTGATCCTTTACCAAAACAAGGGGGTCATTACGGCAGCTTGTCAAATCAATGTTGAGAGTGTCCTGCCTGATTAAGGCGTCCCCTCTCAGTCCTGACACAGTGTCAATACTGGCTGGCCTGTGGCGGCACACTCCCATGATTGGACTGAAATGCCTATCAGTCAGGCAGCTGAGCTGGACTAATGATTCCCTGTGCTGCCTATTAGAGGGACATGACAATTTAATCCTGTGGGCCAGGCAAGGAAAAAGTGACCTTGGTGCTTTATATTGAGACTGAGGTAAATTGACAAGAGCAGATAAATCTTTACCTTGGGCTATTAACAGAATTAAAGAACAACAAAGGCAGAAGGTTCTCTCTTTTTTTGTTCTCTTTGCTCCTGACTTTCAAAACCTTCCACTCCTCTAAATTTAAAAATAATCGAGCGAAAACCAATCATGGTTCCGCAACACTTTTCAAATTTGTAGGACTATACCTTTACAATGTATTTCCACTATACAAAGGCGCAATCGAACCAAAGCTTGGAACAACAAAAAGTCAAATAAACGCCACAGTCTGAATTCTTCTATGCTTTGCTGTCAAGCTGGAACATTGAAAGTGGATATTGCTTGAAGCTCAAGGTTTTTCAGATGTTCAAAGCCATTCCAGCATGGCCCCGGGGCAAGGTATATTGCCTTGGACATCTATCTTAAGGCTATGAGAACATTGTCTACATGGTTGGAAAAAAGCCATGTGTTTACACAGATGTTTCAAGCTTTTAGCACACAGATCTTCCTGTACTGAGCCTCACCACCATCCTTTGTGCCAAGGGACATATACATTTTGCATTAGTTTACCCTTTGATACAGAAATGAAAGGGGGCAGGGGAGCTTGCAGACTTAGGCGCAGAGTCAGAAACAAAGTAAACATTCTCTGCACTGAATTGGCTTTAAATTAAAAAGAAAAAAAACTTCGCTGTTAACATTACAGGTGGCATTTCTTCATCTGTTCCTCGTTTTTTTAATATAGCTGCTTTGATGTGGCCTGTACACAAAGATAAAACAACATGCCTTTCCACATTTCTCCAGCAAAAATAGAAAACAAAAAGATAAGAATTTCATCCCTGTTGCGAGGATAGATCAACGGCACTGGGAGGCTATTTGCCTGCAAGGCACAGCTGTAACACTGACCCTTTATGTTTCCTCTAAAGGTCAACATTTCCTTTCTTTTGTTTCACTCCATGCATGCATAAATCAAAGCTCTTGGCTATTTTTTAAGTTTGAAGTAGGAAATATCATTGAA